AGCCATCATTGTTGTTTGGCGGGTCCGGGCTGGATTAGAACCTGCCACCTTAGGTGTATGTGGCTGGTGACTGAGCCACTTGAGCCATAGGCGCCGAACCTCTTCTGCTTTTTTCAAGTGCATCAAAATAATCAGTCACAGCTGAAGCACACCAAAGCTCTACAACAATGTTATTTTACATTATTTATATTAGACTACAAAGGTTGATAAAAATGGCAAGAGTTTACTCTATTCCATTACTGAAAAATCAGAGTTAAGGCAGAACATTTTTATTTATCACCATCTGAAATTTCCTTCTGGCCTTCAACTCCAGTTTTTCAGATCTTCTGCAAGATGAAAAAAACACAAACCAGGAGATGCATCCATATTGAATGCGTTTCATATATTCTTTTGAGTAGAAGTGGTTAAAAAATTAAGAATTAGCGAGGTTTCAAAAAACAAATAGAAAATAGCTTCAGGCATGAAACCCCAATTACTGATTATTGTGGAAAGGACTATACTTGAAAAAATATTCTGTTGTGTGCATCAAGTATTTGATTATTAGCATAAGTGGAACATCTCCCCCCCCCCCCCACTTTGTGTGACTTTCTAATTGCAAATCTAGGGAATGGACAACTGAATGAGTTTGAATTCATAACTGGCCCTCCAGAGAATTGGATTCTTGTGCCTCATCTACCTGCAGGACATGTGACATTTATTTACTTCATTTGCATGTAAACATAGGGTTAATCATATAGTGCCCTTACAAAATCCACTTACTTTGTGAGACTGCTGAGAAGAATTTAAATTAAGGAATGGATGACAAATGCTGGTTGTGAATGAGCTCTTGAATATGCATTAACTACCAGGTCACTGATGTAATAGCTAAACAAATGTTCCAATAGAAGCACAAGGAGGAATATCACCCAGAGACACTCTCATGTACCTTCAATGAAGTTCACAAAGTTAGAGTTGCTCAATTTAGCCCTTTCAATTAGGGAGGAGGTCCCTCATTATGCTAAGACTGGTTCTTAGTGTAATGAGTAGGGTAACCATTATCCTAACTTTCAGCAGCTTAATTTTTTTTTTTTTTTGAGATAGAGTCTCACTATGTCACCCTGCATAGGGCGCTGTGGTGTCATAGCTCACAGCAACTTCAAACCTTTGGGTTTAAACGATTCTCTTGCCTCAGCCTCCCATGGGACTACATGCGCCTGGGACAATGCCTGGCTATTGTTTTGTTATTGTTGTCATTGTTCAGCAGACCCAGGCCGGTTCTAAACCCACCAGCCCCAGTGCATGTGGCCAGCGCTCTATCTACTGAGCTACGGGCACCCAGCCATCAGTAGCTTAATTTTCCTGTTTTTGTACTTTATAGAAATGGAATTATGGGCAGTCCCTGAGTTACAAACATCCAACTGATGTACAACTTATGAACAGAGACCACTACAGGTAATAGATAAATGGACCTGTTCGCATTTCCATACAAATTCAACTTCATTCTACAGATTCGAAATTGTTGAACTCAAATTCAACGAATCTACAGAACCTATCTTGGTTCATAACCTGGGGACTGCCTGTACTCTGTATGGACTTTTGTGTCCAGCTTTTTATTATTTTTGAGGCAGAGCCTCAAACTGTCCCCCTGGGTAGAGTACTGTCACATCACAGCTCACAGCAACCTCCAACTCCTGGGCTCAAGCGAGTCTCCTGCCTCTGCCCCCCAAGTAGCTGGGACTACAAGCACCCGCCACAACGCCCACCTATTTTTTGGTTGCAGCTGTCATTGTTGTTTGGCCTGGTCGGCTGGGCTAGACTGAAACCCACCAGCTCTGGTGTATGTGGCTGGCGCCTTAGCCTCTTGAGCCACTGGCGCTGGCCTGTGTCTAGCTTTTTATGCTCAACTTTAGATTTCTACAATTTATCCAAGATCTGCCTATACTTGCAGATGGCCTTTCACATTGCCCTGTAGTGCTCCTCTACACGGACACTGTGTGAATTCATTCATTTATTCTATAGCTGATAGTCTTGTTATTCCCGTTTGGGAGCTATCACAAGTGCAGCCATGACCACTTGACACGTGTCTGTGGGCGCCTTATGCATTTCTCTTGGTTGTACTTGTAGTTGTGGAACTGTTGGGTATGCACATAAAGGGTATGCATCTTTAGGGGATAGTGCCAAACTTTTAAAAAGAAGTTGTTCTACTTCACATTGCAGCAGGACGGTGGAAAAATCCAGTTACTCCACATCCTCGCCAACACTTGTTATTTTGCATCTTTTTTTTCTATTCCATTTTATTTTTAAATATCAAAACAACTGAAGCAAAGTTAAAGTGGCTTTTTGCAGGATGTGTCGGTTTTTCCTTTGGCTCTCTGAATTATTAACTATGTCAGGCTTCTACTTTGCCCAGCCAAATCCTTCAGGCTGTGTGAGTGCGTTTTCGACTTTGCTCGACATTTCTGCTCACTTTGCCACTTAAGATGTCATCTGGTCAAGAAAATGAGGTGTGTGTCCGAGACGGCGCAAGTCCTTTTGAGGACTCTGGAAGCGTGATCATTCTGTAGGCAAAACTTAAATGCGGGCCTTCTTTGGCCGATTTGCCTTTTCTAGCGTTCACGATGCTCTGCCTACCTCGGGTCTGCGCACAGCACATCCCGGATCTCCCGGAGCCGCCGGGAGAAGCCAAGCCGCCCTCTCCGCAGCCAGAGCAGGGGCGGGGCGCGGGGCGGGGCGCCGGGTGGGTGGGGGGGAGCACAGCGGCCCCGCGCATGCGCAGCCGATGCCCAGCGCATGCTCCGCGCCGCGGCGGGTCCACAGCTGAGGGGAGTCCAGTACCCCGCGCCCCGCCGGCCCCGGAGGTACTCCCGCTGAGCGGCTCGATTTGAGCCTTGTTTACCAATAAAGTTCGTTTAAAAATCATAATCATTCCTAACAGAGCGAAAGAGGGCGCGAGCCAGCCGGGCGGCCCCGCTAGGGAAGCTGGCGCGTTGGGAAGAGGCGGCGGCGCCAGCGGTTGCGCCGCGACCAGAAGGAGCCGGTCGCGCCGGGCGGTTACTTGGCGCCAGGCAGGGGGACGGTGAGTAGCGGCTCGCGCTCCCCGGCGGCGGCGCTGCGCTCACTCGCCCTCTCCGGGGCCTCGGGGCTCCTCCCGCTGAGGTGGGGACGGACCCACCTCTCCCCAGGGTCCCAGGATGCGCCTCACTGCGGGGAGCGGGGAGGGGCGTCGGGGTCAGGGGCCTCCAGGCCGGGGCTCCCATCCCCCGGCCCGGCCCGCCAAGCGCCCGCTCGCCGCCCCTGAGCACCGAGCCCGAGTGCCGGCTGGACGGGGAGAGCGGCCGCGCCTGCCCGGCGCCCCCTCCCAGCTCGCTGCGGTCGCGTCTGTCTAGGTGTCGGTGCTGGAAGTGCCCCGTGGGCGGGAAAGAGCGGGCCGGAGCAAGGGCGAGGCGCGGCGCGCTCAGCCTGGCACAGAGCATCGGGCTTTTTGCTCTGCCCCAGCCCTAAGTGAGGAAGGGGCGACCCCGGACAGGCGAGGCACCAGCAAGGGGCTTAAGTGCTCGGGTTAGGTTGGTGGGGCAGAGGGTCATCAGCTCCGCCCTGACTTTTACATTCCTGGTCCCCCTGCAGTGGGGCCCCTCTTTCCTCGCGGCCCCACCCTTCCCTAGTCGCACTCTCAGAGACTGCTAGAATATGAATGAGCCAGACTGCTCTATTTCATTGACACGGATTGCCACAGAATTAACTTTACTGGGAGATCCGAGGAGCCATCAGCAGTTGCCAGGATTAAGAAGCTGAGTCGTGTGTAAGGGACTAGAACCGTATTGTCAGGAGCTAGTGAAGTGATTAAGTAGGGTCTTGTAGACCTTTTTAGGGCTGTTTACTTCTCTAGGTTTTACATAATTCCTGAAATCTCGGTAACTTCACTATTTTTTCCCCCCGCTTCTCTTGGTTCTGCATAACTCCTGAAATTTAGATAATTTCATTGACTCTAAAAAGTTTTTCAGTATTTTTACAAATATAATCATACCTATGCTTTAGTAAAGGCTGTTATGAAAAAAAAACCCTTTGAACAGTGAGTTAACTCATCCTTTTCTAATTTATTAGATTACATTGCCTAGCAAAATGTTAAAATTTTAAGTTCAGTGGAAAGGATTTTTATGTAAAGTATTGCTGTCAAGGTTTTTAATTATTGTACTCAGGATTGTGCGTATTTTCTAAGAACTTAATTTTTTTTTTTTTTGGAGACGGAGCCTCAAGCTATCCCCCTGGGTAGGGTGTTGTGGCATCACGCTCACAGCAACCTCCAACTCCTGGGCTCAAGCGAGTCTCCTGCCTCAGCCTCCCAAGTAGCTGGGACTACAGGTGCCCGCCACAACGCCTGGCCATTTTTTGGTTGCAGCCATCATTGTTTGGCGGGTCCGGGCTGGGGATTCGAACCCACCACCTTAGGTGTATGTGGCTGGCGCCTTAGCAGCTTGAGCCACAGGAGCCGAGCCTAAGAACTTAATTATTGATATAGCACTTTAAGTCTATAGTGTCTGAGAATCTCAAGTGTCAAACTGTGTTAAAATTTGATTTTTTTCTTAAATTACACTATTTTAAATATTAACTTATGGTGAAATTGACCTTCTGGAGGGCCGGTAGTTCTGTGGATTTTAGATTCATGTAACCCCCACTACAATCAACATGTAGAACAGTTCCATCATCTTACTAATACTCATGCTGTCCCCTTATATCACATCCCTTAGCCTTAACCCCTGACAATTACTGCTTTTTTCCAGAACATCCTATAAATGGAATCATGACAATAGGTAACTTTTTTTGTTGCAGTTTGGCGGAGGCCAAGTTCGAACCCACCACAACCTTCAGGGTATGGGGCCAGTGCCCTACTCACTGAGCCACAGGCGGGGCCCAACAATAGGTAACATTTTGATACTGGCTTCTTTCACTCAGCATGAATGCCTTTGAGATACCTCCAAGGTGTTTTTGTATGGGTAATTTCCTTTTTTATTGAGGAGTAGGATTTTATTACTACATCCACCTGCTGAAGGACATCTGAGTTGTTTTCAGTTTTGGGTGATTATGAATAGAAGGCTGTAAATACTATGTACAGAGGTTTTTGTGTGAACATGTTTTTGTTTCTTTATGGTATTGGTAGGAGTAGGATTGCATGGTCATACAGGAAATGTATGTTTAATTTTTTAAAATCTGTCAGACTTTCTCAGAGTGGCTGTATCATTTTGCATTCCCACCAGCAACATGTGAGAGTTCTAGAAGCCCCACGTCCTCCTCAGCATTTGGTATCGTCAGCATTTTATAATTTAGCCATTCAAATGGGCCTGGAGTAATATCTCATTGTAGTCTTAATGTGCCTTTAACTGATGGCCGGTGATGTTGAATATCTTTTCATGTGTTCATTTGCCATAGATACTCTTGTGAGGTGACTGACCAAATCTTTTGCCCATTTGTAACTTGAGTCTCCCTTCCCTCCCCTCCCCTCTCCTCCCTTTTCCTCCCCTTCTCTATTTTTGACACAAGGTCTGTTTTGCTGTTCAGGCTAGAGTACAGTGGCATCATCATAGCTCACTGCACCCTCAAACTTCTGGGCTCAAGGGATCCTTCTGCCTCAGCCTTCTGCATTGCTGGGACTATGAGCATGCACCACCATGTCCCACTAATCTTTAATTTTTTGTAGAAATGGGGGTCTCACTATGTTGCTCAGGCTGGTCTTCTTGACTCCTGGCCTCAAGCAATCCTCCCACCTCAGCTTTCCAAATTGTTAGGATTACAGGTTGAATTTAGAGAATTCTTTATATGTTCTGGATATAATTTATATGTCATAAAACATGTTTTACAATATTTCTTCCAGTCTGTAGCTTGTATCTTTTCATACTCTTCACAGTGTCTTTCAGAGAGCAATTCTTTTTTTTTTTTTTTTTTTTTAAAGACAAGAGACTCATTCTGTTGCCCAGGCTGGAGTGCTATTAGAGTGAGAGCTCACAGCAACCTCAAACTCCAGGGATCAAGTGATCCCTCCTACTTCAGCCTTCTAAATAACTGGGACTCTAGTTCCCTGTCATAATCCCTGGCTAATTTTTCCTATTTTTAGTAAAGATGGAGTCTCATTCTTGTTTAGGCTGGTCTCCAACTCCTGAGCTCAAGGGTTCTTCCCACCTCAGCATCCCAGAGTGCTAGGATGACAGGTATGAGCCACCATACCTAGCCAGGAGAGCAAATATGTTTAAAGTCCAGTTTGTCAGTTTTTCTTTTATGGATCTTTTAGTATCATGTCTAATAACTCTTTGCCTAATTCTAAGTTAAGAAGATTTCCACTTTTTGAAAAAAACTTTTAAAAGTTATAGTGTTACATTTATATATGTGGTACATTTTAAGTTAATTATATAAGGTGTGAAGTTTAGATGCAGGTTGACTTTTATGCATACAGATGTCTAGTTCCATCACTGTTGAAAAGACTATCTTTTATTAATTTTTTAACCTTTGTCAAAAATCAATTGGCTGTATTAGTGTGAATTCATTTTGGGCCCTCTGTTCTGTTCTATTTTACCAGTATCACACTTTTTTGGATTAATTTATTGTTATAGTATTTTAAAATCAGTTAGTATGATTTCCTCCAGATTTATTCTTTTTCAAAATAGTTTTAGCTATTCTAGTTCCTTTGTCTTTAGTTTAGAACCAGGTTTTCTCTACAAAAACTCCTGCTTTTACTTTGATTGGAATTGCATTATACCTATAGATCAATTTGGGGAGAAATGCTATTTTTACTTTGTTGAGTCTTCCGATCCATGAACATGGTATCTCTTTCCATTTAGGTCTTTGTTTCATTAATGTTTTGTAGTTTTCAGCATATTCCTGTATATCTTTTGCTGTATTTATGCCTAAGTATTTAATTTGGGGAAGCTATTGTAAATCTCATTTTTTTTTTTGAGCCACAGGCACCGCCCCTGTAAACCTCATTTTAATAAGAGTTCAAATTATAAATTATTTATATATATAAATACAGTTGAATTTTGTGTGTTGCCCTTGTATCCCGTGACTTTACTAAACTCTCTTATTAATTCCAGGGTTGATTTTTTGGGATATATTTTTGGGATGGGAGGGGTAGGTTCCTTGGGTTTTTCTATAGAGACAATCATGTCATTATGAACATAGACGGTTTTCTTTTTTTTTCTAATCTATAAACATTTTATTTTTGTTGCCTATTGCACTGGCTAGGATTACATGTATGATGAATACGATTAGTGAACATGGACATCCTTACCTTGCTTCCAGTTGAAGCAAGGAAAGCAATCAGTCTTTCAGAATTAAGTATGATGTTACCATAGGTTTTCTATCATAGATGCCCTTTATCAGGTTGAAGAAGTACCATTCTATTTTGGGTTTGTCAAGAATTTTTCTCACAAATAGATATTAAATTTTGTCAGATACTCCCTCTGCATCAATTGACATTGTGATATGGTGTTTCATCTTAAGTCTATTAATATGGATTATATTGATTGATTTTCAAGAATTGAACCACCCTTGCATTCCCAGAGTAAAGTCCACTTGATTGTGGTATATTATTATTTTTAAATATTGTTGAATTCAGTTTACTAGTTTTTTGTTTATGGTTTTTGTGTCTATGTTTATGAGGGTTTATCTATTCTTTTTTGTACTGTCTTTGCATGGGTGGTTTTTGTATCCATATAATGCTTCTTCTTAGAGTTGGGAAGTGTTTCCTCCTTGTTTCTATTTTGGAAGAGATTACGGACATTGGTGTTAATTTTTAAAGACAGTCTCACTTCGTGCCCTAGGTAGAGTGCTGTGGCATTATAGCTCACAGCAACCTCACACTCCTTCCTGGGTTTAAGCCATGCTCTTGCCTCAGCCTCCCAAGTAGCTGGGAGTATAGGTGCCTACCACGATGAATGTCTAGTTTTTCTATATTTAGTAGAGAATGGGTCTCACTCTTACTCAGTCTGGTCCTGAATGCCTGACCTCAGATGATCCACCTGCCTCAGCCTCCCAGAATGGTAGGGTTGCGGGTATGAGCCACAGCGCCCCTCCCTCACCCCACCCCAC